TCCAAGACTTCAAATGCAGCTTTTCAGAAATAAGGTACCCAAAATATAAGCATCTTTTATTGGCCTGTGGACAGGGGTGGAAGTGGAGATGACTGTATTAGGCAGGACTCTTAATAGAAAGTGATAGAAACCCAATTCAAATTGACCTGAGAAAGGAGAAATTGTATGGCTCATGTAACTGTAGAGGGCTAGTTTCAGGCATGACTGGGTCAAGAATCAGTTTCTTTTCTTTGTGAGGAAATAACTCTTGGTGGCCTTACATTACATTATAAAAAGATATTTTTCAATACTTTCTAATTTCAACAAGAGTCCCAAAGCTGATGCTCATTGGCTGTGATTGGTCAGGTCAGGTTATATGTCCATCCTGGTACCAATCACGAAAATCAGGGATAAAGCAGGATGGTTAATCTTCTTTTAGATATGGAATTGGAGTTCATTTTACCCAAACTTAATGAACTGAGAGTGGGTGTTGGGAGAATCTGCAAAGGGAAACCAGGGTACATTTACTAGAGGAATGGGCAATTTATACTAGGCAAGTGGAATTTGCAGACATCCACTACAAGGAGACTCTGCACTGACAGCAATAAAGAAGACAACGATAACATGCCACATGATAGGAAGGCAGTGGTGACAATACATTTGCTTTTGCAAGAGAACTGGGAGAAACACCACCCAAGTGTCAGGTTCTGAAAGCAGAGAAGGAGACACAGTGGTAGCCACCAACCTACAAGTCCCTAACTGTTCACCCATGGGCTGTCTTAAATATGTGTCTGGGGTATTTCCCTGGTAGCATGAGCCCCAGGTACTGGTTGGTGCCAGATGACAATCCAGATAACTATCCTCCATCCTGAAATATACTGCTCATCAGGGCTTAAGACACCTAGTTCATCTTCATGAGTGGTAGACATCTGTAAATTTGAATCATATCTTGAGTAGATAAATACCCAGAATAAGGCTATCATTAGAATCCATTATAGAGCAATGTTTTACACTAGGTCCTGCATATATATAATGTCACTGCCTTTTTGCTGCTATTACCAAATGAAGGCTATCTCTTAATGATTCACTTTTAATATCATGATCATTGTCACAAGGATCATCTAATTCATTTACACTGCACTTGTTGCTGCAGAATATAAATGATGTTTCTTAGGCTAGTCTCAACTCCCAGTCCACTCATGTGACCCAGGCTAGTGGAACTGCAGCAGTCAAGCAGGAGGGTCCCCTCAGAACCCACATTAGCTCATGCCACACAATAATGTGGTGTTTCATTCCTTGTCTGTGCCCCCTACTAAATTGTGGGTTCCTTAACAATGAGAATTCTCTTTGATTCCTGATATGCCCTGTACCCAGCATATCAAAACCATGTAATAAGTGCCATACCTAATGTTTATAAAACTAATAAAAATAAGACATAGTCCCTAAATCCAAGAAGCCTGTAGCCCATTAATTACAAAAATAATTATAGTAATGATGACATTAACTGATGTTCATCAAGTGCTGTGTATTAGGTACTGAGCCATGTGGTTTGCATGCACTATCCCACATAATAATCTTGATATGGTATTGCTACCAGCTTTCATAGTTGAAGAAGGTGACATTTGCAGAGTAAGCCAAAGTCAGGTCACTTGAAAATGGTGGAGTCAATGCATTTTAAGATGCATGTATGTTTCTAGACACTAAACTAGTGCTGTCTCTATCAAGGCAAGAAGTATGAAAGGTGGGGGAAGCTGGATCAATCAATAACCAAGGGATTGGCAGGTAATTCCCAGGGCCAACCACATTGACATCAAGTCAAATCTTATATAAAGATATTAGGCTGGTCCAAGTTTTAACTAATGAGAATCTTTGAGGAATCAGACAGAGGAATACAAGAAACCTATAGATGGGTCTGTGGCACTGTCCAAAGGCCAGTGGAAATGCAAGCACCTACTTTTCTCTCTGGTTTCCCCTCTCAGCTTGGAGAAAAGAAGTGTCTGCATGGCCTTCTCTAAATATGGGATCGAAAAGAATAAGATGGCCAAGACAAAATGGTGCACACTTATAATCCCAGCTACTCAGGAGGCTAAGGCAGGAGGATCACAAGTTCAAAGCCAGCCTGTGCAACTTAAGGAGACCCTGTCTCAAAATAAAAAATTCAAAAGACTAAGAATGTAGCTCAGTGTTAGAGTGCTTGTATAGCATGCACAAGGCCCTAGGATCAATCCAAGTACAAAACACACACACGGGCTAAGGTTGTAGCTCGCCTTGCATGTGGAGGGCACTAGGTTTGATCCTTAGCACCACATAAAAATAAAATAAAGGTATTGTGTCCATCTACAAGTAAAAAAAATATATATATATATATATATATATATATATATATATATATATATATATATATTTAAAACACACATAGATGCATAGATGCTTCACAAGATGGGTAAGCTCTGCCTCTTACAAGTTTTTTCACATTTCTCAGAATGAAGTTAGAAATGGAGACCAAGATGCATTTGTACATATTATATAAGCTTTGTGACTTTCCCCAGGCAATTATTTCTGCTCTTCTCTGTTGCCTTCCCAGAGGGATCTGAGCAGGAACCAGAGGAAAGGGCAGAACAAGGAAGCAACCATCCCATCAGACTGTCAGGCCAGGAGGAAGCATGAGGAATAGGTGGGGAATAGCAATTTTAATTCCAGGATCTGTGGTCAAGTGGGTAACAGAGATCCCAAAGTTTGGTTGAATATGAGAAGCCAAAGCACATTCTTCTTGTCAAGCTGGATAGGACTTCTGAAGGGACCTGTGTAAGGAGCTAATAACCTCCCAGAACTAGGACTATGCATCATGAGTAGGTTTGTGCAGGTGTGGGAAATGTGTGTTACTGCTCAACAACCAAATTGTGTCATTGTGTTATTCTTTCTACAAGCATTGATCATGTATGGGTGCATATGGGTATGCTGTGTGTGCACTGAGCCAGGTGATGGGAAACCTGGAAGAACTATTTTCCCACTGGAATCTTGGGGGGCATGTAGATGAGTAAATTATTAATGGCAGTACAGAGTTAGAGCCCCCCAAGAGACAAACAGAGGATGCTCTGAGGTTGCAAGGAAGCTACCTACCACCATCATGGCTGGAAGAGGGTAGAAGGTGAGCTGCAATGGGCTTCAACACACTGGATGAGCACTAAGGAATGAATGGAACCCACCCAGCATGACTGTAGGGATCAAGGAGCCTTTTGAAGTAGATGAAACAGCATGGCTTAAAATCAGGAAACAAGATAGAGCATGGCATTTCTATCTGCAAGAAAGTCCAGTTGGTGCCCAGGAGGGAGAGGTAGGAAGTGGCAGGAGATGGCACTGGGCCAGCCACACACAGAGTTTGGGCTTCATCCTGAAACCAGTGTGGTCTCTGACACTGGGTTTTCCTTCCAAGGGAGGAAATGATGAGGACCACTTACAGGGCTGTCTTGGGTGGCCGGTGCCTCAACTGCCAATAACAAAAAGATTCCTGCTTCTCAAAAGCATCCAGTTCCAACATCCAATCATCTTGCAGGAAGAACCTGAGGAAGCACTTTGTCCATCTTGTCCTGACCATAAAGACAGAGTGTAGGTGGCTTGATGTCATTAAACCCTCCTACCCTGAGAGCATGCGTTTTGGTAATCAGAGCCTATCAGAAATTCTCATGGCATTTTTACCAGCCTAATTCAAGTTCAGTGGGTTCAACCTTTGCAGCAACTGAGAATCACCTGGAAAGTTTGAAAAACAATGCCAATGCCCAGGGCACCCCTGGGGATTCTAATCCAATGGGATGGCACAGCTCAGTGTTGGTGTTTTTTTCAGGCTCCCCAGGTGATCCCTGGAAGCCAGGATTGAGAATCACTGTCAAAACACAGCCTAGCAACGGGAACTCTAAAAAATGGAATGGACTGCCTTTGCCAGGTCCTCCAGCCAAATAGATTCTGGGTGGGCTTTGCAAACCTTCTAGGCACATCACCAAAAGCACCCTGTGGCCACTACTCTTGGTGCTTCTTCCTATTTCCCTCCACCCCAACTCCCTTTCACGGTAGATGCAGAAGGACCATGTCCTAAGGCCAACATCAGGGAGCTGGCTCCTGTGGGCATCTCTCACTCCACGAGCCACGTTGTCAGTGGCTTCATCAAGGATTTTTCCCCCCTGCATTTACCTGGAAGCTCCAAGCAGTTCTCATTAGCATATTACTCACGCTCACCTAGTCCCACACATCACCTTCCTCCTCACCCCACCTCCAGATCTTTTTTTTTCCCTTTGTCCTATTTGCCCATTTATTTAACTGCAGTCAGGTTTTATTCTCCATGTCCTGAAAAGCACATTTTCAGAATGGAAATGCTACTGGAGAAAAGCAGGTGGCTGTGGGTTCTGTGGTTCCAACACACTCACACACCTACCCATTGTCCTCTGGTAAAACCCCACCCATCAATAGCACTGAGTGACAAGCCCTCTAAATACTTCCCAAGGCACTGCCCTGTGTTGTTCCTCCTGCACTGAGACAGTAAATCGTTAGCTCTGAGCCCTTGGGTTGTTTCTTGCAGCAATTAACAGCTGCCCCAGTGTTAATTCCCAATCAATAGCCCCTCAATACTGCTGCTCTTAAGCTGACAGCTGATGGCCTCCACAGCACATTTTGAAAGTAACTTGCTGGGGAGGTGGGACTCTCTGCGCGCCCCAGGCATCCTCCAACACCAAGTATCCCTCACTGAATGTCAGGGGTCAAGGGACAGAGTGAGCAAGCAGGAACCTCCTTCCAATAGGATGACAGCCCAGGGAAGCAGGGAGAACTGACTCCCCTCGGGAGAAGCAGCTCTTTATGATATTCATGCAGCTTTCATTTTTTCTATTTTGGCTTTTTTAGAACCTTTTTTTTTTCCTGTTCGAGATGGCTGTATTTTTCTTGCATCTAAAGCTCTCATTCAAAGCAGTTTTCTTTTGTTTTTAAATCAAGTAGCCAGAGTCTCTCATTTCTTGTCTGTGTTGCTTCCCCAGCTCCCTGTGGACAGAATGAGACCCGAGAGGATGGCAAAATCATCCAGCTGCCCCCATGCAAGACAGGAGCATGGATTGTGCCGGCCATCATGGCCTGCTACCTCTTGGTGGCAAACATCCTGCTGGTCAACCTCCTCATTGCTGTCTTTAAGTGAGTGGACCCTTCTGCAGCACATGGGGGGTGGTCATGGGGTGGAGGGAATTGATGCTCTAGAAAGCAGCAGGTTTTCTTATTTGATTCTCTCTGGTCTGTTTCAGCAATACATTTTTTGAGGTAAAGTCGATATCCAACCAAGTGTGGAAGTTTCAGAGATATCAGCTCATCATGACATTCCATGAAAGGCCAGTGCTGCCCCCACCTCTGATCATCTTCAGCCACATGACCATGATATTCCAGCACCTCTGCTGTCGATGGAGGAAGCACGAGAGCGACCCAGATGAAAGGGACTATGGCCTGAGTAAGACTCAAGCGATAGCCTGACAGCCAGACCACCACAGTCAGAAACCCCATCCATTTCTTACAGGCAGCCATGCAGGGTCCTGGCTTGACTGGCTCCTCCCCCTCTGAAGACTAGGGGAGGGGGCACAAGGGAAGATCTGCTTGCAGCAGAAACGGTACCAGAAAGAAGACAGTAGAAGCTGATATTAAGTGTTCCTAGTCTCACATCTTTCTTAGTAAGATAAAATCGGTCTCCAGCAGGGTTGTTTTAGCACCTTCATAGGTCCTAAGCGTCTTACTTCCCAGGGGTCCCACCTCCAGATATATAAACCATATTAATATGCATCAAACGCTGCATAATATATCATTTTTACACACTGTGACATGAGTTGAGTTTCAGTGACTCAGTTTGATCCTCCATTGTCATTTCTGGATCTATAATTTTTTCAGGTCTTAAGCATTTTCCTGAGCCTTAGGAGTTGAGCCCACATGACCTCATGAAGAAACAAGCCTTACTTTCTATTATGCAAAGAACAAAACGGGAGACTCCACCATCCATCTTCTATCCCAGGGTTTCTAAAGGAAGTTCTGTTGACACTGGGGTAGAACAATTCCTCTTTGTGTAAGACTGTGCCACACATCACAGAAAATTAGCATATCCACCCACCCACATTAAGTACCAGTAGCTCCTGCAGATTCCTAAATGCCCTTTGGGTACCAACTCCACTCAGTTAAGAACATTGGGAATCCAGCCGCATACAGATCAGCTACTGTGGTTTCTCCAAGTACATGGAATCAAGCACTCACATTAAATCTATGAACAAGACCTCTGGAATTGTGGTCTACTTCTCTCTGTGTGATACCTGTATATAGATTACATTTAAAACCAAAGCTACTTAAGCAGGTCCTTCTCCAAGTCTGAAGCTTTTAACTATGTCCCTGACAGCAATTCCCTACTTCTTTCTAGACACTAAAACTGGGGAGTTGGAAAGAGCTGGGACATCCAAAATCACTGGTTCCATCTGAAACACAAATTTAGGCAAATAGAAAGTTGTGGGTGGGGTGAAGAATAATCTGCAAGTTGAACCCTGAACTTTTCTATTCAGGACTTTGGCCAGTATGGAGGATGATGGGTTGCAAAATCAGGAGCAGAGGAATGTTACAATGAATTATACCCTGCAATGGACACTCAGTTGAGAGTGAACTGGAGGTCCCAACATCATTTACAGTAAAGCATGGGTCATTTTTAGTAAAAGGAGATCGTCACTTATCCAGAGTACTCAGGAAGGAGTGTGAAATTAAACATAGAAAGTGGAGCAGTCCATAGACCTGTTTCTGCTCCAGGACCCACCCCTCACAGACCAGAAGACCAGAGCCAGCCAGACACTGGAGCAGGTAGGAGGCAGCTCCATAAGGCTCTAGCTCATAGTTTTCTCACTGCTGTTACCCATAGTGGCAATGAAACCCTCATCAGGTCTCTGCGCACATGGAAGGGAGATTTCTCAGAGAATGAAGATTTTGGAGCTGTGGCTGGGTCAGAAAGGATGACGAGGAGACAGGAGAGCACTGTGTTATATATATATCAATCAAGGGAAAGTGAACTTTTCACTGTCAATCTGTAGCCTTAATTAAAATATCCCGGGGCACTGCCAGGTTCTTGCAGAGCCTCAGATAAAAGCACTCTGAAGTGTAAAATGTAAGCTATATTGCAAAATTTGACATGTTGATGGATTTTTTTTTAAATAATATTTTATTTTTTTAAGAAAGTACATTACATTTAGCCAAAGAAGTCAAAGGAAGTGCTATTAAGGTGCCAACAGAGTAAGAATTTGGAACACTCCTTCTGGGCTCAAATATAGCAATAGTAAGAAGGAGTCTGTACTTTGCAGGCCGCGATGCCTGGCCTCTTTTCATGGGTCTCTCTCCCACCCAAGGCTCTATGTAATTTCATGACTGAACCTCAAATGTCCACTTCTGAGAAAGCCCTCCCTCGCTGAAAGGGAAGTGAGAAAGTGAGAGACAGGTGAGCAAGAAATGAAAGACAGAGACCAGACAGAGACCCACACAAAGGTTTATTTGTCAAAGCTGACAAATATAAGGCCATCTCTCTATAGAGAGGAGAGAGGCCCCAGATGTTCAGGTGCTCAGCTTTTGTGGGGTAGGGGTCTGGAGTTGTCGTTGTGGCTCTGTGGGAGAGACTGGGGGGTGCTTGTGTCAGAGCTAGGCAGGTGGGGAATAGCATGGGATTGGCTTAGGTCCATGGCACCATGGGGCTTTTCAGATCAAAGGGGTCGCATCCTTCTGGGATTGACTTAGGGTTATGGTACCATGGGGTAGGTTACTAATGGGGGTGGGAGGAGTTCAGGTAAGAGGAAGTACAGGAAAGCTAAACTTATAAGACGGCAGTTAACATTTAAGATGGCTGCTCAAATGTTAAATCAAGACCCTATATTCACCTCAAGAAGTCTGCCATATTTAAGAAAAGCAGTCTGATTTCTGGTATTTTCTTTACTCTCATCTTCTTTTAAATTCATATTTTCCATGCCCCCAGCAACTTCAAACAAAAGCCTCAAAGCAAGGAAGACAGAAAATTCCTAAAGAGCTAAGATTCAGAATTCCAAACACTTAAGATGATGATTCCTGTGGCACCTCTAGGGCACAGGATTAGAAGAAGGACTTGCTCATTTATGGTTCTTCCAAACTAGCTCTCTCAGCCCAACCCTAATTCATGAACCCATTTAAAGTCTCACATTTCTACTGGGCTCTTTTCATGCTCTATTAGTGATGAATAAGTTTACCTGCTATAAGGAGAAAACCAGAGTAACAATAGCACGAATAAATATGGCTTTGTTTTTCTCACATAACAAAAAGTAAGGAGATGGATAATCCAGACTCAAGGATGGTTCCCTGAAGTCAAGGGCCCAGAGGACTTCAGTTGTTAGGCTAAGCTCTTCCTTTTGTGCTCTCTTGTTTCATAGCCACAGAATAGCTGCCTCTGATCGAATCTAGCGTTCAGAAGGCAGTGATGCAAGTCACCTAATTGGATTTGGATTTCATTTGAGACTAGACGCTAGGCCCCTTTTTCCCGCCTTGATTCACATTAGGAACTTCATTAGGCCCACAGATTCCTGCCATCACTGTTGTTTCCCTGCCTCATGGCTCTCATTTTTTTTTCCACAGAACTCTTCATAACTGATGACGAGCTCAAAAAAGTACACGATTTTGAAGAGCAGTGCATAGAGGAATATTTCAGAGAAAAGGATGATCGATTCAACTCATCCAATGATGAGAGGATACGGGTGACTTCAGAAAGGTGTGTTCCCTGGGCACATGCCTCCTGCAGATGCTTTATGGCGTGGTCCTCTTTACCCATTGAATTCATTCTTACGATCCCCAATCAGAGACCCCTTGTGTTTATTTTTTATTTTCCAAGAAAGCATAGAGCTTCTGAGAGGACAGAACATTGCATGAGGTGCTATGGATCAAATCCAGTCTTGGAGATCTAGGCTTCTTCAGCAGGCAGTAGCAGCGGCCCTCCTGGACAGCAGAGATTGGCAAGTCCAGGGCTGGCGCTGCTGTCTCAGACCAGTAACTAGAAAATTCTGACCCAGACACAAACCAAGAGAGACTCATTCTGAATTTACACTTTTCTGACAGTTTCACTGAGCACTGAGCATCTTCTCTGGCAGAGTAGAATGGTACTAGGGCCTAGCTTATATGTGTACTCAGTACTTTCCAGATAAACAACAGCAAGAGACTTGTGTATTAGTGAGAATCATTATTGGGTTTTTCCCCAGAATTGTTTTGTTTTGGTTTTTGCTCTTTATAGAACAAGATAAAAACTAAAATAAAATAAAAGCAGGTTTTTCTACCCTGTGGTTATATACTTTTAGATCTCATTGACCAAGTAGTTTTGAGAGCCAGTAGGGAAAAAAATCTCCAAATAAAAAGAAGAGAATCCTTTAAATCTACTACAATAGATTTATGCAAATGCTCATATATTTTCTTGTTGTTCTTGTTTTATTGTAGACTTACAAAAACTCAATCCTAGTGTACTTGGGAACTATTGTTCTAAAGAACACTCAGAGTATAACAAAGAATGAGTGTAGATTTACATTTTAGCCATTTGCAATATGAAAATGGCAAAAGCTACTTATAAATAGTGTAGAAAAATATATATTGATGACTTTATCTAATATGAATCAGGATTCTAAGATTCAAGACAGTCACTTTTAGCTTTCATAAAATGACATTTTTGGAAAAACATGACATTTTTTGCCTGCTTATCCACTTCATACATTCTCTACTGAATGTAGAAATTAAATGAATAACCCTGGCCCTTTATTTCTTTGGAGAATGCAGTCTAAATGAATATGTGTGTGTGTGTGTGTGGTGTGTGTGTGTGTAAGTGTGTGTGTGTGTGTGTATGCATTTGAGTGATTGTATCCATAGGTACCAAGTCAGTAGTAAAAAAATTTAAAGCCATGCAGATTTTATACACATTTGTCACTAAAAAGAGAGCATTTTGTGATGATATCATGTGAAGCAATGGAAAGCAGAGGAAATAGCTACAAATCTGAAGGTCTTTCCCATTCTGAGGCCTTGGAAAAAATTATTTATTAATGGACAGATAGCTATGTGGGTCCCAGAAAATTATGCCATGTAAGCACATAACCATTGCTCGGGCATCTTTCCAAAGCTTATATCTACAGGCCTTTGAAATGCCTTTGAATTTGGGAAAGCCCTAGACCTTGAAGGAAAAAAAAGGTCGGGAGGAAGGAGTGTTAAGATGCCAGAAAAGCCAGATGCTATGGTGCACACCTGTAATCCTGGAGACTCCGGAGGCTGAGGCAGGAAGGGGATTGCAAATTCAAGACCAGCCTGGGAAATTTAGCAAGACTCTGTCTCAAAATAAAAAGCAAAGAGGATTGGGAATGTAGCTGAGTGATATAGTGCCCCTAGGTGTAATCCTAAGTAAAAAAAAAAAAAAAAAAAAGAAGAAGAAGAAGAAGGTGAAGGAGAAGAAGAAGGCAGGAAGTCTTTGTCTCTTCGGGGAACTAGAGTGAGGAGCTGCAGACAGCAGCACATGTGAACGCACTGTGACCAGGTCACCAACTCCTTCTATAGAGAAACAGTAGGGAACTATAGCACTGGGTGGGAGCCTGTGTCTGCAAACCCTTCCCCAAGACCCAGTTCTGTCTGGGTGGTTACAGAGCCCCATCCTCAGAGAGGGTGAGAAAGGTGAGCAATTTGCAGAAACCCAGAACAGAGTGTAGAGCCTACCCTCCCTGCATTCTGGAGTAATAGGCCTGGAGAATCAACATGCCCTCATGACCAAGCCCAGGTACCCTGCGCCAATCCTCATTCTGTTTTGTGGCTTCTTCTGCACTTGTCTGGAGATTTTATTTTGATTGTTTCCTGTTGCTGTCCTTTTCTGTTTTGTTTTATTTTGTTTTGTTTGCCTTTGGAAGCATATTAAAAAGAAATATCTTTCAACACCAAAACTGCACTCAGCACAACAGAAACATTGGGGTGCCCGAGGGAAGAGAGTGTGACCAAAGGATGAGTCGATCCATATTGCCCATCTCACACATCTCCAGGACATGCCCTCTCTGAGTCGGAGTGGCAGCAGATGTCACATGTCCTGATTGCATTCTGTTGGTAGAGAAGAGACAGATACACATATGTGTATTATGTAGATACACATTGGGACAGATACATGTGGTTGAATCATTCTAAGTTACCTGTGCACATTCTACATAGTACAGAGAACATTACATAATTCAACCTTTATGTTAGGCAACCCCAATACAGAGATTTGAAATTAGAAACACTGAAAGCTTGCTCCCTTTCCTGGGCACCTGCCACATCGTGTGTTCCTGGACCCTGTTGGTGATTATGCCATAATGAGCCACTCAAGATTTGGAGATTTCAGAGAGGGAAAGATAAATAAGAGTTCCTTGCATGGAACCTCTTGTTTTCCATAGGGCTTTTTCTTTTTTTTTTTTATACTTGGTCACTGTATGTCACCTTGGGGATCCCTGTTGATCCATAAGTTCTCATCACCTCCATTTTAAATTCTGAGTTATTCGATCAAAATCAGCAACTAGTGGCTACAATCATGACCCAAAACCCCTGGTTGGCTCCTCAGGCCTATTTATATGGGATACATACCTGTTTAACTTAACTTTTCAAGAAGAATTTTTAAAAGAGTAAGGGAAATACTCTGGTTACATATTAAACATGTAAATTGGACTCTAGGATATTTCATTTTTAAAAAAATCACTACCCCTTTTATTTTTTAAAAAACCCTATTAGGTCCATGACTTAAATGTCTCAGACAATTGGATGTTTACATAGTCAAGAACACCCAGAGTTCTGCAGGAAAATGCATGAGACAATTCATTATTATTATTATTTTAGGCAAGACTAACTTTCCAGCTAGGCATGGTGGCACATGCCAGCTATTTAGAGGCTAAGGCAGGAGGAGCCCAAGTATGAGACCAGCCTTAGCAACTTACTGAGACCCTATCTCAAAATAAAAGATAGTGGTATAGTGCCTGTAAATTCAATCCCCAGTACCAAAAGAAAAGGCTTACATTTCAACGCACCTGAGAGCCCAGAGGAGACTGAAGTTGGTGAAGAATGATTCTTCAGCCCTGTTGTGTAGTCCTTCCTCCCCTGATTCCATTCCCTGGGACCGTGTTGTTTTCACTCTTGGGGCTCCTGCCAGCTTCTCCTGACTTTCCCTGAAGAACCTCTTCTTCCTATACCCCCTGACTTCCTTGTGTCCTCCTTGGGCTCCTCAGTCTGTGTCCAGCTTCCTGCCTACAACAGGTCTTCTGCTGCCAGCTGTTGGCACCTCAGCTCCATCTCTCACCTGCTAGTTTTCTCTGACATTGGATCCTGGGGCCAAAGGGAGGTGGATCATGGGAGAGAGGCCCCACGGTACAGGCAGTGAGGAGAGATTGCACAGCTCTTGGACCAGTGATCATTCATGTGCAATTATGCCAAAAGAGCATCTTTTTCTTTTTCAAATATCAACCGTATATAAATGGCCCTGAAAATAATAGAAAAGGGATAAAACTGCTCTACCCTTTCTTGTTCTTCTAGCTCCAGCAAGTTAATAGAACCCAGCACCTAGGATATGTTAAACAAAAAAGCTAAAACAACAAAACCTACTACACCAGGCCTGGCGGTGCATATCCATAGTCCCAGCAACTCTGGGGGCTGAAGCAGGAGGCTCACTTGAGTCCAGGAGTTCAAGACCAGCCTGGGAAAAAACAGTATGGTCCCATATTGAAACAAATTTTTTTAAAAAGACGATGGAGGGGCTGGGGATATAGCTCAATTGATAGAGTGCTTGCCTCACTTGCATAAGGTCCTCCCTGGGTTCAATCCCCAGCATCACCAAAACACACACACACACACACACACACACACACGAGCCAGGCACAATGGTGCATGTCTGTGATCCCAAAGGCTTGGGAGGCTGAGACAGGAGGATTGCAAGTTCAAAGCCAGCCTCAGCAACTTCGAGGCACTAAGCAGCTCAGTGAGATGCTGTCTCTAATTAAAATACAAAATGGAGCTAGGGATGTGGCTCAGTGGGCGAATGCCTCTAAGTTCAATCCTCAGTACCAAAAACAAACAAACAGATTGGATGATCCTCCAGCACAAAAAGATTTTAATTCTATTTCTCAGCAAACACATCAATGCCATTCTTTTCTCCTCAGCCCCTCTAACTACCTGTCATCCCTCAGATTCCCTCTGGGAAAAGAGTCTTGGTGGCCTCTAGGTGAGCTGAGCTTTGATGCCCTCTATCCTTGCTCTCTAAACCCCCAGGAGAGGAACCTGACCCAAGGGACTGTCATTCTCTCCTTTTCATACAGGGTAGAGAACATGTCCATGCGGCTGGAGGAGGTCAATGAGAGAGAGCACTCCATGAAGGCTTCACTCCAGACCGTGGACATCCGGCTGGCACAGCTTGAGGACCTCATCGGGCGCATGGCCACAGCCCTGGAGCGCCTGACGGGTCTGGAGCGAGCTGAGTCGAACAAGATACGCTCGAGGACCTCCTCGGACTGCACAGACGCAGCCTACATCGTCCGCCAGAGCAGCTTCAACAGCCAGGAGGGAAACACCTTCAAGCTCCAAGAGAGTATAGACCCTGCAGGTGAGGAGACCATGTCCCCAACCTCTCCAACCTTAATGCCCCGTATGCGAAGCCATTCTTTCTATTCAGTCAATATGAAAGACAAAGGTGGTATAGAAAAGTTGGAAAGTATTTTTAAAGAAAGGTCCCTGAGCCTACACCGAGCTACTAGTTCCCACTCAGTAGCAAAAGAATCCAAAGCTCCTGCAGCCCCTGCAAACACCTTGGCCATTGTTCCTGATTCTAGAAGACCATCGTCATGCATAGACATCTATGTCTCTGCCATGGATGAGCTTCACTGTGACATAGACCCTCTGGACAATTCCGTGAACATCCTTGGGTTGGGAGAGCCAAGCTTTTCGGTTCCAGCACCTTCCACAGCCCCTTCAAGCAGTGCCTATGTAACCCTTGCACCCACAGACAGACCTCCAAGCCGGAGCATCGATTTTGAAGACATCACCTCCATGGACACTAGATCTTTTTCTTCAGACTATACCCACATTCCAGAATGCCAAAACCCCTGGGACTCAGACCCCCCTATGTATCACACCATTGAGCGTTCCAAGAGTAGCCGCTACCTAGCCGCCACACCCTTTCTTCTAGAAGAGGCCCCCATAGTGAAATCTCATAGCTTTATGTTTTCTCCTTCGAGGAGTTATTACGCCAACTTTGGGGTGCCTGTGAAAACAGCAGAATATACAAGTATTACGGACTGTATTGACACGAGGTGTGTCAATACCCCTCAAGCGATTGCAGACAGAGCCACCTTCCCCGGAGGTCTTGGCGATAAAGTAGAGGACTTATCTTGCTGTCATCCTGAGCGAGAAGCAGAACTGAGCCACCCTAGCTCTGACAGTGAGGAGAATGAGGCCAGAGGCCGGAGAGCAGCCATCGCGATGTCCTCCCAGGAGGGTGACAACTCAGACAGAAACCTATCCAACAACATCACGGTTCCCAAGATAGAGCGTGCCAACAGCTACTCAGCAGAGGAGCCAAGCGTGCCATATGCACACACCAGGAAGAGCTTCTCTATCAGTGACAAGCTCGACAGGCAGCGGAACACGGCAAGCCTGCGAAATCCCTTCCAGAGGAGTAAGTCCTCCAAGCCGGATGGCCGAGGGGACAGCCTGTCCATGAGGAGACTGTCCAGAACGTCGGCTTTCCACAGCTTTGAAAGCAAGCACAACTAACTCTTCCTACCATGCCTTGCAGGAGGCTCGAGAATCCAGCCCTAAATTCTCCCCAAACTCCACCTTTTTCCCCCTTCCTTGAATCACACCCGCTTTATTCTTAGCTGAGCAAAACAAGCAATGTGTTGGGAGATGTTAAATCAAAGGTGACTTCTGGGCCACAGATCAAGAAAACATTTGATCTGACCCAGTGCCAAACACAGGGTAGTTGGAGCATGTTCACACTTGCTGGGTAGGGAGGGGATGGGGGGAGAAGAAGGGTTAGAGATGAATGTGTATCACCAGTCACTGCAGAAAGCCATGAGCTCTGGGGAACCAAGGGGCTTCAAGCACTCTCAACGCCAGGAGGCATCTTGTGATTTCTACCCATTATCAAGAGCTTTAGGATGCAGGGCTAAATTGCAAAATAAAATAAAATAGCCAGCATACAAAATGAGATATTCTAAACTTCAATTCTGTTTTCTTTTCACATTGGCTCCATCACTGGTGACTGATGAAGAGCATCCTTTTTATTCAGTATAAGCCGGCAGCAAGCAGTTCTACCTAACGTCCCACATCCTTCTCATGCCAACACTTCTGTAATTGGTCATTATAAAGAAAAAAACAAGGTAACAGTCATAGTTCACCTGTCTCTTATATATTCACTTCTGGTGCCACAACTGTTTTATCTTTTTTGAAGAAAATAAGGGAACAGAAATGCCTTTTGGTCTTGCAATGGAAATGATAGAAGAGTTGATGTTAGAAGCAACAGTCACATGATGTATATCATATATGGTGGGCATTCCAGTATAGTCAAGCAAGCTCAGGATGAATGTAATTAAATAACTTTATATTTCTTAATTTATTTTGTATCTCTCTTGTCATCAGTGAATTCACTCATTGAATATGTAATGTTGAACTTAAAAAAAAAAAAAACAGTGAGCAGAACTAACCTAAAATTGCCATATGGAATATTGTTGTATTCTCTCCATTCATGTCATGTGTTGTGCTGCTGTGTGACCTTCTTCATATGCATGACTCCACCTACTGCGTCCTTTGATCACCTCAAGGTGTAACTGCCAATTTTTCACACCACTCATCGTATGGCCATTTTGTATACAAAAACCTGGTTATATGTGGCTATTTTCATACCTAGAGTTTTGCCATCTAATCTGAGCTCAGCATAAATTTAATTGGAATTTTTCAAGGGCTGGTATCTTTTTTATGGAAATGTTCCAAAGTACTTTTTAAGGAAGTTTCAAAACCATAAATAACTTTAGAATTGACTAGGAGTTTGGTATCAATCCAAAGCCATCAGTTGCAGGCATGCCATGAATATTTTTCTTATATACAGAGCTATAAAAAAAAAGATATAGTAGGCCAAAATAGAAAGCAAATAAACCATATAAAGAGTTCTCTAGTATATGCTGCTTATATACATATATATGCATTTACATAGCAACACATGTTTATATATAGTATATAAACAGACATACAGAGCTTTCTTAAGAGGCTTGGACTTTTCTATCTCCTGGAGGTATAACCAAGATTTTTTAATATCCAAGAAGTTCCATTGAAAGAGTTCATTTTACCATTAGACCAAATGTTGAAACTATGACTTTTTAAATCTCTGATCACCTTAACTTTTCCATGTACCAAATAACAGTTGTCAAAATGACTCACCCTGCCTTCTGCCCCTTTTTGTCCAAAAACACTCACTCTCATGATATTGCCTTTATTCTGGTTTCTCCCACACAAAGCTATTACACCAAGTACAATCTGAATAGATGTGCAATTCTAAACCAGCTAGTGTGATGAACTCTAGAATAGAAGCATAAGCATAAGCTTCTCTTCTAAAGTCACAGTCATGGTTTGAAGTGACATAAAGAAATCTTGACCCCAAATCTTCAGATTCCTATTTGGATCATTGAAATTTTAAAAAGAATGAAACCTTTAAGAAAAATAACTTCATGTTCCTGGCCCAAGATCCTACCTGGTTATTTTTTTCAATTGTAGTTGTAAACATTAGGTTATATCCCATTTTGAGAAATCAAGTAAGTTTATTGACAAAAACCTCTAGCCTTTAAATATTAAAAAAGAAAAAAACTGAACAAGCTTTTTGGTACAAAGTGACAAGGTCACGTGTGTAAAGAATTCCTTCTGCATTCCTTATACTCCTTAGTAGGTAGGGCACTCAATAACAAATACCCAAGCCCTTCATTTATAATTGTTCTGGAGACAGTTTCGCTTTACTGGGCCCTATGTTGGAGTTTTCCCTCTCAGTAGATATGCTTTCAGTCTGAGAATAAATCAGCCGTCTTTCAACCTCCTAGAGTGATGAGTCCCTTGGAGGATCTGATGAACACACTGTCTTCTCCCCCAACTCCCTAAAAATGTACATACATGTGAAGTTGCAATATAACTTTAAAAAGTCCATAACCTCCTGGTCTATACTGATTGATAATGAGAAAAAGGAATGACATTTGCTCATAATCAGTATAGTTGCAATAGGCACTTTACATCTTAAGACCATTTCCCTGTGATTCTCAGGAAGGCCAAGTCTCAGCACCAGATTTGAACCACCGTTTCATTATTTTCATTGCTTAGATTAGATGTGACTAGTTGGATACCCTTACGTGCTAATGTTTTGATGGTTTTAAGCGGTGAGCACACTCACAAAGTTGAAGGCTCTCTGTGGGAGTCTCTGGAGGAATCCAAGGAGGTGAAGCCATTCTTTGACCATAGAGCAGGACAAGCACCTCCAGAGCCTCGTTCTGGACCAGATTGGAAGTGAGGGAAAGAAATGATGAGCGCATGTGTTTCCATTCGTCATGATTTCCAGAGAGAAAAGGAACAGGACCTGGGAAACTAAATACTTAACAGTCCTGATCTTGTAAACACCTGGTTCTTTGGTTGTGCATGAAACTAAACGTTAACATCTTTGGTGAAGTGTGTGACATGTATAAACCAAATTCAAATGACTTTAGACACAAACTGCGTAATCCTCACAAGCCATCTCTTTCCTGTGCACATGCGTGTGTGTGTGTGTGTGTGTGTGTGTGTGAGTTGTTGATCTCTGTCTCTTTCCATTTCCGGGTCCTCTGTGCACCAGCGTGGCATCGATTCTGCGGCCTTGTACAGTCAGGTTGTGCTCAGCTCATTTATTCCACCATGTCCCTGATTGAGGGAGCATTAATTACCTGTCTATGTGAATTAAGCAACTCATGAGCAGCAAGTTATTGAGGACGGTAAATAAAGTCATAGCTCCAGGAAGTAAATAGCTTCTGTTTAATCATCTGCTTCAGAGGTGCCAATTTTTATATACTACTATAGGTAATGATTTGTTCTAAATTGCTTGTTCTTTTCGGAAAAAAAATTAAGGATGTTTTATGAAAATGACTGTGAAGGTTTCCTGATTAACCAACATACTTTATATTTATCGTTAGAAAAATATAACGGCTTTGAACGAGGAGCTGGAAAGCTGAGTGCACTTGGCATGGCTAGTTTTTGTATTTCTGCAAGCCAAAAGGTGTATTAGCAGTCAGAACACAGCACTTTACAGAACTGGATTTTTTTTAAGTCTAAGCTTCTGAGGCCAGGACAATATTTAGCACTTTGAAAGTTCCCCTTTTAAAAAATATATATAAGTATAATTAAATGGGAAAAAATGTACTTGTAAAAACACAAAGTGTGTTTCTTCTGAATGTTTCAAAATGTATTCTAAAATATGGTTTCTATAGATACTATGGTAGATAACTGGATAGTACTTTTTTTTCTTCTTTCTGAGGCTGTACAGTCTAATCTTCCTAAATGTTTGGGCTGTTTAATTTCTTTAAAGATAATAAAATATTATCCAGTCATCCATCATGCTATATCTGTAGGCTATACCATAAGATATGTTGGGCAATGCTGTATTATAAAACATATGTAAACATATATGTAACCCGTGTTTAACCCAGCATAGTTGTAGCATGTGGTTGTATTAATGAACGTTACAGGACAGCTTTATAATCATTTATAAATCTGTAACATTCAATAAAGAAGCACATGTTGCAAGGATTAATTATGTTCCCTATTCCATGTTATTTAGCTTCCTCGTGAAATGGGCATTTTTGTTCCCGATCCACTTTGTTTTTCATATTCCTTCAGACCACTGTAAAATATTTGTATAAGCTGATGTACTTCCTCTACCAAGTCCTGCAAGCTGTGGTAGGCAAGTTGTGATTTTGTGAAAGATGAACTGGCATGTTATGCAAAAGAGTATACGACAAATGAACTTCAAATAATATTTTAAACTCCAGTTGAATTAGCTGTTTGTTTACATCTGCTGACCCAATGCAGAGGCATTGTATAGTATTTTATAAATATGTTCATTTAGTGACATTATGTCATTTCTAGTTAAAGTGATGCTAGTATGTAGGTGGTTTATATACTTGGCCTAGATATTGCATTTATAACTCACTGTCCTTAAACAATGTGACTTAAATGAAGTAATTCCTCTCCAAACCCAGTCTTAATTTTGTGTCAACAAAATGCATGCACTGCTTTATGCATTTCTTTTGACTTTTTCTAAGGCACTTAACATTTTACTATTGCCTGCTGCGATGCTTAAACCAGTTAGGAACTCACTCAAATTGTCGGGCTTCTTACACTAGGGATTATGTTTCATTTTTTAAATTAAAAACAAGGAATCAAGGGGTTTTTCAATTTTTCTTTCTTTTTTTTTTTGTAAACCTCCAAACAAGTAATATGAAATAAAGTATTAACCACAGGTTGCATGATAGGGAACCCAGAGATGGCAAACCAGCACCACTTGGGGTTACCAAGGTCTCGGCGTTGGTCAGCCATGGTATGAGAAGCATGCTTCAGATTTTTTTAGGACTGAAAATTGCTTCACCAGAGATGAACATGAAAGGTCAATTTGTGACAGGGCAGAAGTGCATGGGTCACGTGACTGAGTGGTTCTGCACTAGGGTATGTGACTCCCTCCTTATCTTGTGGCTTTCTGCGCTCTGCGGATGAGCCTGACCTCTGGGTGGGAGGCAGGTGACAGAGCACTGGGTGACTCTGAAGAGCTGACTTTTTTAAAGAAATCACCATTTTATTAGGAGAAGCTCTTTAACACCTGGAAAAGAGAAGAGCCCAGGTGCACAGCAACTGCTCCTAAATTGAGTGGGGAGAACTCTTAGCCTTCCTTGACCTTAGCTTTCTCTTCTTTTCACCAAATATTTGGCTGACTCTCAGACTGGAGTCAGCCAGAAAAGGAGTTGGTTCTGATTTAAGAAAAACAAGATTTTGTTTTTCCTTGTCTTTTCTGGGTTTTAATTCATTTCAGAGGGCCTTCGTGTTATCTTTTCTCTGATAATTTCCTTGCTCCTATCACTGCAAATAAAAGGAAGATGTTACAAGTTCTGTGTGTCGTCTAAGAGAGGATTTAGGTGACCAGGTTATCCAGATGCAATAAAAGTGAGGTAAATGTGTGCCTTTCCCTAACTCGCCCAGTCTAACCAGCTACCTTAGGACTGCACATTTGCCCATTTGCACTGTGTATGCTGAAAAGTGAACAAGATATGATATCTAGAAGTTCATTGGCTTTCTGAAGAGCGTCAGTGCCAGCCATGACCCCAGCCTTCCTCAGAGAGAGGCAGGCTACTAAGAGCTGTGGGACACGCTGGGGTAAATCAGCCTTGGGCCTGGGGGTACAGCCTTCTTTATCCCCTCTACTTCCTCCTTTCCTCTTAGTCCAACACAGCTCCTTTTTTTATGTGAGACCAACAGGTCATTGATTCTATCACCTCAGTACCTTGTGGACCCCAACAGAGTGAGCCAAAACAGCAAGTATTTGGAAAAAGCCAAACATTCAGGCTTTGGCCCAGGCCTGATCTTCCCACAAATTCAGCCTCTCCTAACTGGCTGGCACTTGCATCTGCCTCATCCAGTTCTTTCCCTTTCTGAATCCCAAGTGTCCCTCACATCTCCACCAACTTCTGACACATCATCAGGACCCACCATCTGCAGCTAGAGTGAGGGCCTGCAAACCCAATCTGGGGGCCAGATCCAGTATGCAAAGGTGGGAATGGGCCTGAAGACAGCAGAAAGACTAGACATTTATGGGCCAAGTTACTGGAGAGGCTGAGGCAGGAGGATCACTTCAGCCCATGAGTTGGAGACCAGCCTGGGCAACATGGTGAGACCCATCTCAAGGAAGAGAGAGAGAGAGAGAGAGAGAGAGAGAGAGAGAAGAATGAATGACAACAGAAATAGCATTTGTAAAACATGAGAAAATGCATATCCCACCTCAAAAACATTCAAAGTTAGGCGTCCTTTCTTACACCCCCCTTTCATTGAGACCGGGTTGCCAGTCTGGTCTCCATCTCCTGGGCTCAGGTGATCCTCCTGCCTCAGCCTCTCTAGCAGCTGGAACTACAGGCATGTGCCTCTGCACTCGGCTCATCTTCAGGTTTTCAATCCCTGTGCTAGCCACCCAAATATGTCTGCCAGCAGCAGCATTCCCAAAGGTTTGAGACCTCTGATTTAGAGCCAGTCAGGATCAGTTTCTTGATTCCAATTTAGAAAGCTGCACATGAAATACACTGAGAACTAAATACACAAGGAAAAGGGACTCTATTTGGAGTTACTTTGGTTCCCCTGGGTGATATATGCATGTGTATTTGATAGCCACATCATTCTGGACCCAAACATCCTTGTGAGGGAGATTCAGAAGAGGGTAACATAACATTGTGTGAAGACTTACCTGCTTCCTGTCACTACAGGATCTGACCTGAGTTTATATTGCTGCTACCGCTGTGTGTAACAGTCCGTGCAGTATACTGTACTCATAGCCATTTCATAATATAGCACTTAGAGTCTCATTTGTAAATGTTCTAACCATAGTTTATAATGGGGGAAATTATTCAGATATCATTTTTAAATGAATTCCTATAAATAAAATGATTTTGAAATTGGGTTTACTAAATATATATATATATATACATCTTTTCCTTCTTTGCATATGGATAGACAGAGGTTTGCATATCTATTGACACTATGAATATATATAAATCCTTAGAGGAATTGTTCTTTTTTAAAGGTCTATTATTGGATTCACATTGCACTTTGAGCTTGTTTGTGTAGATATATAATTCAAAGCAGAAGTTGGCAGATACCACAGGAAAATCTTTCTGAAATTTCTGTAACAAATGTTTTGCAATAAAAAAAAAAAACTCAGTAGTTCAAAACATGACTTGGACTTTCTCGTGCATTTATTTGTCTCCATCTGATCTCCACCATACTCAGGATGAGAACTTTGGGGGTTCATAGAGATAACTTCCTAGTACTTCATGCATCGCAGAGGTTACAAACTGGTGGCCTACGGGTCATATCTAACCAGCAGAGAATTGGTGTTACAGGTTAGCATAGTGCTTTAAAAAAACATTGAACATTTTAATATTGATAAGTTTCACATCTATTCTAGATTTCTGGCCCCTCATGAAAAATGTGAAGATCTGGTAAAATAAAACCTAAGCCATGGCTTCTTGCATATCCCTTTGGAAGAAGCATACATTTCAGTCCCCAGCACTCCCTTCTTTCTCACCTATGGTTTCTGTCACTCATTAACATTACCTGAACTGCCTTCATTTGCACTGGAGACTTGGAACCCTGTGTTAAAGGATTTTTGTAATGGCAGCTCTAGAATTTCTAAGTAGGAAAAGCTTAGGGTAGCAATTTGATTAATAAGAGACATATCAAACTGGTCTCTACTTTAAAGTTATACAGCAAGCATGATTTCATTATCTATTTTAAAAATATATATTGATTGTCTTCCATTGGATTTGCTTTGGAAAAGCTGAGAGATAGGGGTAGGATCTAAATATCATTTCTATTAAGTGATCCTGGCTGCAGTACCTGATAAGAAAAATAAGCAATGACCCCGCCCTTATAAATCAAATATTTTAATTTCAAATAGTATGGGAAGAGAAATTGTATAGAGAGAGATGTTTCTTAATTCAAAATGTATTCTAAATAACTACTATGTGTCCAGTGGAGTGTCAAGATGAATAAAGTAAGCAAAGTCCTTACTCTCGTGGATTTTTAAAGTTATAATGAAAATGTAATCTTATACAGTCTTATCATTGCCATTTAGTTGCCTAAGAAATAGAGCATGAAAAATATGAGTTTAGGAGTTCAGAGGAGTGACAATGTTCTGCGACAATGAGGGCTTTATGGAAGAGGCTGTGCTGGAATGTACCCTGAAGTACAGGGAAAGGTTAACTAATCAGCAAGGGAAGACAGTTCAGGTAAAGAGAATATTATTTTAATAAACACCCAAATGTTACAGTGCTTCATCCGGGAGTCTCGTATTCATGGGCTGCATCCCCAGCATGGATCCCAGTATTCAGAATGGGGCATGGCTCCAACTAATTCCTTTTATCTTTACTTCTCCCATTAGCTTTGTCTAGTCAATTTTTTAATGGAATGGCTGATACAGTTTTCGGGAAGCAATTTGCCCATATTCGTGAATATACATATTCATGTATGACACACGACATTCAATGATGTGCCCTAAAAAATCAAGTCAACCATCATTTGCTGCCAAAATCTCAGATTTAAGCCAACCCAGGCCTCCCCCCCTTGATGGAGGTAGGGGTAAGTGTAAATTCTCTAGAGCTAATTTATCATTACTTACTTGTTTTATATTATCCTACTCAGTTAAAAACCATACTATGGTTTTCCAGGCTATGAGACCTGCATTACCACATTCTTATCACTAGAATTCTCAGTTATTACTTCTTTTTTAACCATTTCTGATCCTTGGTTGTTAATTTGGCCTTTACCCATTCGGCATACTGCTTTCTTATAGTTTAAGGCCTTTCCTCAAAGCTTTGGGCTTTATCACATTTGTTATCTTTTAACCTATTGTTGGAATAGACAATATGACACCACACAATCACCCTAGAAAGACTATCACTCAAAACCATAACCTATTGCTCTGGTATTCTTTGTCTCACATACTTAATAGTCGCTTTTTTTAAAATTAGGTGTATTAATTTGCAAATTATGGTA